AAAACTGCCAAAATTGCGGAAACCCACGATAGTGCAAAAAGTCCAGAGGATAACTTTTAGATGTCTAAGTATTAAAATTTTTCTCTAAATGTTTCTCAGGTGTCTAAAAGATGTTTCCTGGAATTTATTTATAGAAACACACACACACAAGATAAAGAAACGCGTCCAAAATAGATAATTATTGTAAATAAAGTCATCGCTCAATACAAAGCAACACGCCGACTACCGCTAGAAATTTAGAGATTTTAAACTATGCAAAATCTGCGGCGATAGTTAACGTGTTAGCCTAACGACGTAAAGTCATACATACAATAGAAAGTAGAGACTCGAAATCTAGATTCATTGCGTAAGGCAATATAAACGTTCAAGAAACATCACCATCTAAAAGATAATTTAATTTAGATTAGGTATCATTCAGAGAATTTTTTTTCTATTTGGCACTTTTATGTTATTTGGAATATGATTAGACATGAATTAGAAATCGTGACGTTGTGTCTTGTCTCGTCACAAAAAAATGCACCCGGATGTGTATCATATTTCTTTTTCGAACGGGTGGATTATTTTAAAAATTTATTGAATTTTCTAGCAACAGACTGGCGCCATAAAGAATACGTCTTGAAAGCAATAGTCGGCAATAGAACGCCAAAAAGCTAACTTGCCAATTAGCTCAAACGTAAATCTCCTGGCCGTTAGTTTACTGTCCCACTTCCCTCAGGAAATTCATTCTAACTGTAGACGGAATAAATACTGTATCTATGATTCTGATTGTTTTTGGACTGGCAAAAAAAATGCTGTTGCTGTACGCGAGTTGCAGTAGTTGAATACTTAACGGCATACAATGACGCAGAGTGATTAAGCATACTTAAAATAGTGTTTATAGTCTCGTCGAACGTCATACTTGGTCGTATCGTGACGAGAAACCGCCGTGAATACAGTGTAAAATTAAGAAGCATGACCAGTGGTGGACCCACTGTTATAAGAATGAATGAGTGTGTGCATATCTTATTTATAACGAATGTGAAAATAAATGGATCAAAGGTAATCATAGCTGACAAATCTTTTCTCCTTCGGGACTTAGGATTCACGAAGCATCATTCGCCTAATCGTTCGCCTTAGAACCCCAAAAGTCTACGATATTTATCGTTGAATATTCTGTCGAAATATCGAGAAAAGCTTTGGATAAAGAATAAAATTTTAAAAACTTTTAAAGCGATACTCAATAAGGTATTATCAATTTTAACACCGAACGAAATATGCTTAATCTAAAGACAATAAAAAACTTATATGCATTTCTTACTGAAATGCAAATTATAAGAATTAGGAAATAGGATGGTACTATCGTGATAAATAAAAGTACAGCAGATCCATACATTTCTTATTGATAGAAACTGATTTTTAATTTATTTGACATCCCATACTTTTAGCCTTTTTATTATTCATTAAAGTCGAACAGGATTTCCTGACTTATACAATTATATTAGATAAAGACTAATAATCGGAAATGATTGATTTTTAAAATCGTTATTTCGATAGACTCGACAGGTCGGGCTGAGTTTACAAAAGCACGAATCACGCGCACGCTCATTTCGCCAACATTGCGTCAAAACAACCTATGTCTTGTACTTTATACATTTTGAAAATTTTTTTTTTTTTTTTTACACAATTACAGTTAAATAGAGAAGACGGACGCCGTGGATAAATTCGACGAGTGTAGATTCGGTATAATATACCCCGCATAGAATTTTGAGGAGCAAACAATGTACACGGGAGATACGACTCTTATGTGTCACCAACATTTAAGAACCCGTTTCTCAATATGAGAAAGCTAGCGTTAACTTTTAAGTGTTATGATCTCACTCTGGCATTAGACGGCATTTATATCTTACCGCGTGATGATGTTAACAACGCCTGTACAGTCATCTTTGCATGTACCCATTAATCTTTTAGAGCACACATTGACAATTTTCCCTTTTTTTAAAGCTACGATAATTAATATTATATCTATTGGAGTATTTAATGCTACATAAAAGATAGATTACATTTACAATTTAAATAAAGCAAAGACGAGACAGCTGTCAAAGTTGGAGACAAGATGATTCCTTTGTGTCACGGACTTTCATTAGTACATCCATCATCCTGGCGGCACACAGTAACCGCAGGTGAATGGAACCGGAAGATACGTTTCCTTAAATAACTAAAAATTCGCGCTTTAGATAATAACATCATTTGGAGCAGTTACAGTAATGAACTATATCAATTAGATATACATATTAAACTTATAATATTATTCCTCACTGTCAAGAAAAATAAAATGGAACAGGTTGATCGTTCAGCGAATCAGTGAGTCGATAGGCGAGTTTTTGATTTAAAGCTCCCATTCACCTGTCGCGATATTACGTATGTCGCATCCTAAGAATATCATCAATCTTCCATCGAGTTTTATCAGCCCATCCTTCGTTGTGCTTTTTTCCGTGCGTCATGTAAGCCATATCGGTTACATGATATAATCAGCGAACAACTGTCTCAGAATTGAATGCACGTATCACAGAGCAGTTCACATTCTGCCTTGAGAAGTTTTCCTCAATCGGGTTACCTGGCCATGAATCTGCTCGGCCCTTACGTACGGAAATGTCGCAAGATTTTGCACTTTTTCTCTCGTCCGGCATTATATTTCTTTCTCATTTTTTACAGAGCTCGCTCTCTTAACGAGAAGTATAAAAAACTATGTACACTTTCTTGCGTTCTTATATATGAACTGAGTACGAATAACGAGTTGCCTCCCTCCTCTATTTTAACTGCCTGTTTTACTGCAGAATTTTACTGTAGGTGGACGGGAATAAGAAATCTCTTACTTTTATCAAATGATAACATAATTCGCATAAGCAATCGATAATTCCTTTTTTAACGAATTAAATTATATACTTGTTATGTTCAATAATCATTTAACTATGATAATCAACCAAGTATACAAATCTTGTATATGGTTGCAAAAAATAATTATCTTTTGTTTTAGCACTCGCTTAACATCTCGCTTTGTACATTTGCTTTGTACATTTCTACTTGTCTTCATTCTTTTCTTATCTCTATATTGAACGACTTGAGGCTTGTTATGTCACAAGAACAATATCAAAACTTTCCTTTGATTGCATAAGCAGCCAGTGTAATTAGTAGCTGTAGAACAGACCCGTCCACCATTCTTTAAGTGTGGCTGCAGCAATAAAATGATCGGATGCACTTCGAGGATCATACCAGGAGATTGAAATCAATGAACGAAATGCGACAGTCCATGCTGTTTTCTTCTTTCGTATAACTGTCAAAGTGTGTAACCAGAACTAACTTAGCTCAATAACATATTTTACATTTTGAATATTTCATTAGACTTATAAATGACTCTCATAATGTACGTCATGTCTTTTTTAAACGTCCGACGATCCATTCCAGTCCCTGGTACAATCTGAAACATTTTTTATTATTATTTATTTTAGACTTTATTCCTTTATCCTGCCATAAATAAATTCATAATCACGCTACGGTCTTACCCTTCTCCAGTGAGGGCGCAACAGCTCTGTATATGCCACTGGTGTTTTTTGATAGATGTCAGATCCAATTGTCTTGAAATTTCAGCTGCAGTCATGCTGCCCTTTAAATCTTGTTTATTAGCATAAACCAGAACATTGGCTTTACTCAATTCCTCGTGGTTTAGCATCGAATAGAGCTCTTCTCTAATCATACCGAGTCTCTCTCGGTCAGTACTATCTATGACCATAATGATAAATTCGGTATTCGTGTAGTAAGTAGACCAGGCAGCTCTCAAACTCTGCTGACCACCCAAATCCCACATGATAAAATGAATATTCTTCCACACAACTTCTTCTACATTGGACCCGATGGTCGGAGACGTATGGACAACTTCATTCATCAGGAATTGATATAATATTGTTGTCTTCCCAGCATTATCCAAACCAACCATAACTATTTTATGCTCTGAAAACAATAAATTTTTATTATTAGGATATTTTTATTAGTAAGGTCTGTAATAGGTAATTTCTTTATAATAGGTCTGTATAAGGTAATTTCTTTATAGCTATATATAAACTATATAGACCATATAGACAGATAAACATTGAAATTTGGTGAAAGTAAAATAGAAAGTTTTAGCACTATTCAATGCAATGACGAAGAATAAATGTCTAATTTAGTCATTTTGATTTATATTCTCCTAGATGTGTAAAGGGTAATGTGATAAAAGTAGATCAAATTGAAATATAAGTGACAAGTTGAGAATTTAAATTCAGGGGTCAAGTCTTGAGATATAGAATGTGATTTATGTTCTTTTCTAACAATGTAGATTAACTTTAATCTTAATTTAATTTATTCTTTGTCCTTTTCTGATTGTTAAAACTAGAAAAAAAAATGAAAAGTAAGTTAAACCAAGATTAAAGCTGCATATCCCTAATCTTAATCTACAGTGTTAGGAACAGGTATTAGTAGCATATGTTAACAGATTAGAGAAAGTAGGCCAGTATACATGCATAGAATTTCCAGTAAGAATATCATCTGACTCATCAAATTACACAGCACTATATCAGATTCTTGATAAAATTGACGACTCCAAGAAAAAAATGCTTAAAATAATACTCGTAAATTTCGTGAGTATCTTATTGCAGGTCCAAAATACTTCCCGATCATATGAAAAGTTTTACATGCGAGTGATCGACCCTTTCAAAT